GAAGCTATTTTGGGTAGGAAAGTAACATGCATTGAGTTTTATGGCAAAATCTGGGTTTAAGTATGGTAAAACAGGGGTTTAACAGAGGATTTTACAAAAATAAATAAATGTGTAAATAGGATAATCAAGTTCTAAAGTGTATAAATTAAGGTTGAGATATGGTTGGTTTTGATTCTGAAATGTTTACTCCAGGGGCTGTTTTTAAGGCTAATTAGAACCTTTGAAGGTTTATCGCTATTGTTGGTTGGATTGRAGGTTACCGCGTTTGRTCRTTYATAAGAAAGCACTGTGAGTTTATATCAAACTTATACTTATGTATAGTATAAATATATGAACATTTGTTGAAAAGTTGCTGAATTTCTTGCATGTGTTATTTTGTAAGATAAATTTTTCCCAAACTGTGTTTTGGTACCGCTTAATCCTGTTAAATTTATGTTTAAGTCCCGGATCGGAGACTGTTTCATTGGTTTTTAGTTGAACCATGATCTATGGGTATTACTTTGTGTGATGCGCCGTAGCATGGTGTATGTCCACGTATCCCAGGGAGAAGGAGGTTGGGTGTGGCATATTGGTTGTATTCACGTATCCCGAATGATAAGGAGCTGGGTGTGAATACTTGCACGGGCCCTGTAGATGAAGGAGGGTATGGTGCACATAAAAACTCTATTTTGAAAATGGTACCTTTGGTGTTGAACACCCTTTTGGGCTGAAATTGATCTTATTTATCTTAAAAAGTCTTTATAAGCGCTGTATGTTAAGATTGGAAATTCAAAGTTTTTATGCTRTGATTAAATGGCCAAGTTTGGAATTTTGGGTCTTTTGAGACCATCGGCCCTCTGGTTGTATTGTAGTTTAAATCCTTTGAGACCATCGACCCTCTGGTTGTATTGTACTTTGAATCCTTTGAGACCATCGACCCTCTGGTTGTATTGATCCATCGATCCTCTGGTTGTATTGAGACCATTGATCCTCTGGTTGTATTGTACTTTGAATCCTTTGAGACCATCGACCCTTTGGTTGTATTGAGACCATTGACCCTCTGGTTGTATTGTACTTTGAATCCTTTGAGACCATCGATCCTCTGGTTGTATTGATATATCGATCCTCTG